GGCAGCGATGGACGTGAGCAACGGCCAATAAGAGCCACGACCTCGCAGGACGCGCGCTGCGATTGGTGGAGGCCGGGATGATTTCTGGGCGGGAGGGGAGGTTGCGCCTGTGAGGGTGTGGAGAGGCGACGAGGCAGGTCCAGGGCCTGTGGCGCCGCGTTGTCACGGGTGGAGGGGCCTGGGCGCCCTTCAGGGCCGAGGCTACGGGTTTGTGCCTGCCTGGGGTGCAGCCCTGAGGCCCGGCCTGCCCTCATGCCTTGTTCGGAGGCAGGCAGGGGGCCTAGTGCCTCATCTCCCGCCCGTGGGGTGTGTCCCCGGGTGCCAGCCAGTCTCTGTCTCTCCTGCGTTTCAGGCAGAGCTATGGCAGAGGCCGGTGGTCCTGTGCGGCTGCTGGAGGTCTGCGGGCAGAGGCTCTCCCGGTTCCTCTACGATGCCGAGCACAAGCACTTGGCCTGGCTGTGGGAGGCGGAGGAGCAGGGCAGGAGGATGCTGGATAGGTAGGGGCCGCCCTCGTGGGAGGTCTCCAGGCCCCTCAGGGAGCTGGGCTCAAGGTGCTTCCAGCTCCTGGAGCACAAGGCCGGGTGTGCTCCCAGTTGCTGCTGGGCCTGCCCTGAGTGAGCCATGGTGGGCGTTGGGTTCGGTGGCTGAGCGGCTGTGATCTGACACAGCTGTGGGGTCAGCAGCTCCCTGTGGGCCTTACTGCCAGGTGGCTGGTGCACTTTGTTCCTTGCTTCTCACCCGGTGCTCTTCCTTCTCAGTGAAGGACCCTGATTTTGTTGCTCTAGGCAATGAAGGGAAGCAATCTCTGTCTTGTGCATTTTCTGCCCAACAGCGACTTTGGGGCTGAACCTGCATTAATGCCCAAAACACCATCACAGAGGAGACGTCCCAAGAAAAGGCAGTCCTCCTGCCTGAACGATGAAAATAAGGAACCAAACAGGAGGAGGTAGGTCAGTCAGTTTGTTCTGGCTCTGCTGCATAGCCCTTAAGAGCAAAACAAAATAGTAACTGTTTCCATGTATACAGGAACATAAAGTAGCCACATTATTCCCTGAGTTAGCAAATACATTTAAAAGGGTGTGTCAGGATCAATCAACGTTTTGATTCTAGTGGAAGTTTGGCATAGAGTTGGCTGGTTTCCTTCACTTTTTTTTTTTCTCTTCTCTGTTTAGAAACAACAATAAATATTCTATTTTTTTTGTCAGTTTGGATTTGGGTTCTGTTTGATTTGATTTTGTATCAGCATGATTTTTGGCCTGAGGCTGCTACTGGTGTTCATGTGATTGTGGAAAGAAAAAGACTACAACTAATCATTTCCCTGTATCACACTCTCTAGACCTTTATGCAGGTGCCTGAGAGATCCTGAGCACAGCACCTGTGGCCAGGGATGTGCAGCAGCAGTGTCTCTGCAGCTGTTGTTTGAACTGGCAGGCAGGAATGCTCAAAGGAATTAGTGATGAAACTGAAGTGGAATTTCCAAGTGATTTGCTTAGAACCAACCATAATTGAGGGTTTGAAAACTAGTCCTAAGTAGATAACAGTTGCCTGCAAACAGATGCCAAGGCAGGATGGTGTAGGGCATGATTTAATTGCATGTGTACTCAGGGATGGCTGTGATGCTAATTAACTGCCTCGATGCTGCTGCTTCTTGGTAGCTGGCAGTCTGCTCTCATCTCATGGCCAGTGGCCAGGCGGTTAAGGTAGCCTTCCCTTCAGAGAGGGTGTGCTGCGAGGGGGGGGTCAGCACACCTGTGGTGTGACCCAGGCCTCATCGCTGGGCACACAGTCATTGACTGTTTATGCGTTAAGGCACTTAAATTCTGATAACCATGGTGAAAAACCCACAGAAATTGGACAGGAAGAGTTAGAACTAAAAGGCTGTCAGAAACCAGACATGGAGGATGGAGAGAACAGCAAGAATAGTAAGGAAGCGTGGGAAGTTCATGCGTGTGTGTGGTGAAGGAGGGCAGGAGAAGAAAATGTTACAGATCTAAACGGGGAGAGCTCTTAAGACATACTTTTAGTTTTCAGGTAGCAGCTGGATTGCTCCCCTGAAGAAGACATGTCTTGCATGTATTTTTCCTCATTTAAACTTAGTTTTGAGAAAGATCTGCTGATGCAACAGAATGCCTGGGCGGGCGGTCAGTCGTCAACAGGAAGTTCATGCTGCAGTTCAGCACGTTGTGCTCCATCCCGCAGGGTCAGGCTATTGTTCTTTTTCTTGCTCTGTTTTTCTCAGTATGTATTTTACAGCCCATTTCTTAGTGTATTGTTAATTGCACATTTCCCACTTAATCTGTTTTTGCTAATTCTAGCAAAATGTTCCTCTTCTTGCTGGAGGTAAGCATGAGGAATTAAGAGGAGACTGGAAGGAGGGCAGAGGGTATCAGCTTGAACACTGTCAGCAGGACAAGTCACTGCTTGCTGGTTGTTGTCACCAGGGACTGTAGAACCTTTTTCCAACACCACAGGGGGTTCCCTTAGCTGTCTTCTCAAGCTGCTGCACACTTCCACATTAGCTCTCCGTTTCATCTTTGCCTTCAATCTCCACCCTTTACCTGGCTGACTCGGTTGCTTTGGCATCAGAGCTGCCGTTCTCTGGACAGCCAAAGTTGCCCTCTGGTTTTGGACTTGCCCACCCCATCTCCTTGACTTGCGGCTCCATCCTCCCATGGCGAGTTACCTGATGCCCCGAGGAAGATTTTGCTGCTCGAGTTCCCCAAGTTCCTGGGTGATTGGTCAGGTTTAGCTGAAGCAGTAGAGCTAAAGACAGAGACCTAGTTAATTTGTCTCAAATAGCAGTAATTCAAAGAATCCGCAAGTCAACTACAGGTATTTTTTTGTTGCCTTCCTCGGGGTTACTCTGTTGGGTACCACGCATGCAGCAGCATTGCTGTTTCCCAGCCTGTTCACAAAAAGTGCATTTAGAGCTGTGGATATTGTCTCAGTGCTTGAGACCCTGCTCCCCTGTGCTCAGGGAATGTTTTATGCTGAGTAGCAGAGCCTTCTGCTTCTAGCTGGGATCTTGTAGATCTCTACAGGGGAGACTTTCACAGGGAGTTGATCGTGGACACAAAATTGTTCTGTCTGTGGATGCCTGTGCTTTGCTCACAGCAAGCAGGAGTTGGTGGCACTGGCGTGACCTAGCTGTCCCCTGGCGTCACTCTGCCTGGGGCTGGGGGCCCTGGTTGCCCCCGCTGCTGCAGTTCCTGTCCGTATGGTACAAGCCTTATTTGTGAGGCTCCCCAGCACACCAGGCTGATGGCTGGGCTGGTGCAGTGAGGGTGTGTGCCCTGTGTTCCTGCCCATAGCACAGAGGGGTAATGTCTGGCAAAAAAACATCCTGCAGGCAGAGGGGAGCAGCAGTTCCTAAATTGTTCCAGATAGGTCTGACAGTGTGTGTGTGAGCTCTCAGGGTTCTGCTCCTGCACTTCACCACTGGATAGGGGTGGGTTGTGGAGGGAATGGTGGAGAGAAGAAGCCTACAGGTTCATGTCAAAACTTGTTGTCTGTTTTTTTCCCTCTAAAAATAATTTGGTAATGGGAGACTTCTTCACTGCTTCATTTAAAATTGTTTTTATTTAAGGTTGTCCAGAAGAAGAAGCAGCAGCAAGGCAGCGTTTTCCAAGCCAAGCTCCCAGAGGCGCTGCAGCAAAGAGCAGCCCTGTGACCCCAGCTGCCTGGGGGAAGGGGTGTCCGTGGCTGACGCTGCAGCGAGGCCTCAGGGCAGTGTCACAGCCCAGCAGCCAGTGGAGGCACAAGTTCCCACGGTGCAGGGGGGCTGTCAGGGCTGCCCTTGGGGACCTGACGATGGCAGCGATGCAGCAGGGAAGCAGTTGCCATCAGGGAATGCAGCTGCTGAGCTGCATGGGGTATCTTCTGTCGCTGGGATCCACAGTGGCCAGACAGCAGGGGAGGAGGCCCCCAAAAGAGGAGCAAGTACCTCCACTCCCAGAAAAGGAGATCCTGCCATGCTCCAAGGAGATCAGTCTCCTCAAGGCCTCGAAAAGGTGCTTTTCCAGGACTCTGACAGCAAAATCACTACAGTGACAAACAAAATGCGCCGTTGCTCTGGACGCCGAATCTTTGTGGGTGGCCCCCGCAAGAGCCATCGGGCCTCCTTGGCAGAAAAATATTCTCTGGCCAGCAAAAGAGAGAGCATGATCCGGAGGTCAATCAGCAGGGCTGTGTCAAAGAAGGCAGCAGCGCAAGAATCATCATCTGCCTCCAGCAGAGCGAGCTGTAAGTGTCTGTCAGCTGCTGGGTGTGTTTGTTTGGCCAAATCAGCCTCTTGGCTTTGGTGTGGGGAGCAAGTGGCTGTGGAGCTGCTTGGCTGTGGTGTCTGTGGCTTCTCTAGGTCTCCTCATCGCTGGGCCTTGTGGCTTCCACCTGTTTGGGTGCAACCCTCAGGGCCTCACCTGCTGTTGGACCAGCCTCAGGCTGTGTTTTGCTGCAGCAGGTGAATGAACATCAGCCAGGGCATGAGCACAGGGGCTGGAGGTTGTGGACAGGCAAAAAACAGGAGTGAAAGGGAAGCCATGGTCTGGCTGGTTCTAGCCGCGGGTGCAGTCTGGCTGATCAAAAGAGACTATTGCAGTCCCTGGGGAGGGGCTTTAACTTGTGTGTCTGCTGCCAACTTGCTAAAAAATCTACAGGAATTGAATGTCTCCAACCCTGGAATCTGGCTGCAATTGGCTGGCAGGGGAACTTAAGTGCTTTTTGGGTGAAGACAGAGTGGCTGGACTGAGAACCAAACAGCACAGCCATCAGAGGAAACAAGGTTCAGAAATTCAGGCTATTCCTGGTAGCACCAAACTCCTCATGTCCTCTGTTCCTGCTGCTCTGGGGAAGGTTTTGCTATTTGGACTTTCTCAAATCACTGCTTCTCAAGTCAGATTGGCTTCTAATAAAGCACTGAGGCCTTTGATATTTAGTTTTGTCAGCTTTGAGTCACGCTGTATCTAGGCATTTGTTATAACACTTTCAGCTAAGTGGTGTTATGGGGGGAATGAAATCAGCCTAAATCCACCAGATCTCTGCATAAAACCGTGTGGGGAGGCAGGAGCTGGAGTCAATTGACTGGGAAACGCTGTCTCTGACACAGGCAGGAGCATGTTTGTGCAGCTGGAGCAGTCTGCAGGCAGAGGAGCTGCTGCCTCAGCTCTGCTTCCCCAGCCTACACCAGTTTGTCAGTGACACTCGAGGGAGGTGGTAGCGCTGGTGTGGAAAGCTGAGATGAGCAATCGGCGTGTTCCCTGGGAGGAAAGCCTGCACAGGGACCTGAGCCCTACCACGCACACGCTGCTGCTCTTGGGAAGCCGCAGAATGAAACCCCCAAGCTAGCTTATGTTTTTCTCCTACAGGTCAGAGCTCCTTGGAGGTTTTTGTGGAAGAAGATGTGACCAGCAGCATGAGGTGAGACTGCCGTGCAGGAAGGAACCGCAGGAAGCCCTGCAAGGGGGGCTCTCTGGGTGGCTTTTATTGTACAGGCACAGGGCTGGCTTTGTAAGGTGCAGTTTAGGTGACGTTGTCACCTGGGGCTGGTTGATATTTCAACGCCTGCGCTGTTCAGGCACAGCTCATCCTCTTCTGAGCCTGGTCAGAGCACAAGCGGTTGAGCCTATGCTGTGAGGCCCAAGGCTGCTGGTGACTCCTCTGCCTGCCAGTGCCTGGCACAGGGTGAATTGTGTCCTGGGCTTCCCAGCCAATGCTTGCTCAGCTCTGCTCTGCCCCGGACACTGCCCAGCTTGGGCTGGCTCAGCCTGAGGCTCACAGCTGCCTTTTTACCTGCTCCTGGAGGTTCTGCCAAAGGGGATGAAGCTCATCAGCGGAACGGTCCATTGGAAGAATTTGCAGCTCCCCTGCTGCATGGCCTGGTGGAAAAAGGCTTCTGCCTCTGCTCAGGTTTATCTGTGCTTTCCCTGGGGCCCATATTCTGGCTCCAATGTGCTTTTATCACCTGTAACACCCTTCAGAGCATTGAAATAATTAAAATAACTCTTCTTTCACAGACCTGGACTGGAACTGAACTGTCCAAGTGAAAAGGTAAGCCCTAAGGAATAACCTACAATCTATCTGGATATTTTCTTGCCTGAGTTGACACCTTCTGCTGAGCATTGCCCTGGGAGCAGGGAACGTGGCTGAGGATCATTCTGTCGTGTCCCTTCTGGCTGAGCAGTGCTGCCCATGGAGCTCTTGGGCAGCTTGTGGAGCCAGGTAGCGCTCTAACTGATGCCAGGCAGAGACATTGTGTGCTTGGATAAGGCCTCTTCAAGGTGGAACCTTGGGAGGGGCCTGGCCAAGTTCCCAGGTGGCAGCAAACCTGTCAGCCAGGCATGATGGCTGACCCTGTATCTGTAGCCTGGCTGATTTGAGGCACAGAAGTTGGGAGGGCAGCTGACATTAACATGTTCTCCTTGGCTGTGGAGGCTGCACATATAATGACCTGGCATGAGCCTGCAGTGTTGGCAGGACAGAGGAACCTGTCCCCTGCCTTCAGCTGGGGAAAACATCACGTGCAGTCATGCTGTGACACGGCTGGGCTGGGAAGAGCCCAGCAGAGAGGGGAGTGGGCCCTGCGCATGGCCGGCGGGCTCCCAGCACGCCAGGGTGCTCTGCTGCAGCGACTTCCCTGGCTTGTCCTGCTGTGAACCTACTGTAACGGCACCCAAAGCACCTCGCAATCCTGTAGCCTGAAACACTTTACAGGGACTTGTCTTCAGTCAAGTGGTTTGGCAGGTTTCAAAACTGTGGTTTGAAAAACTGGTGTCTCCAAAGTGTGTAGAAGCTGCCTGTGGTGCTCTGGGTGCTTTGACTTTGGAGTCCAGGTTCATAAAGCTCCCGGTCTAGCAGGGAAGTGCTGAGAATTGCCCCTCCTGCAGCAGCAGCTGTTCTGTGAGCAGGCCCCTGTTATTGAAAGGAATCAGTTGGCATCCCTGCAGCGTAGCTCTCGTTGAGGTGCAGGCCCTGGCCTAGGAGCTGGGCTGCAGTTGGAAGTGACTGGCTTTTTCAGGGCAGCAGGTCCCAGGCAGCCTTGTCCTTTAGAGCTACTGTGCCAAGAGAACACTTGTTTCCTTTTCCGGCAGACTCCTGAAGGTGTCCTTGTTTCGAGCAGAAGCGTACAAGCTGCCATCCCTCCTGCACAGCACTTGCCTCCTCCTGAGCAGCAGGCAGGGAACAAGGAAGGTAACTCTGAGCTGGTCTGTGTGAAGTCACACAGGGACTGGGGAGTCAGCATGAGGGTTTGTGGAGAATGTGGGACTTGTGTTGAAACGAAACCACCTCTGACCAGCCAAGGTAATTTTTCAGGTAAACTTTGGAAGCAGTGAGACATGCAGTTAGATAAACTATGATAGACACGTGTCTAAGCCTTCAGACAAATGCTGTCCTGTCCGACCTCGGTCTGCTAGTGAGTGGGGGTACTCTGAAACAAGATTGCTTTTAGACCTGGCATCTTCCACGCAGTGTAATGTTCTGTCAAAGTGCCTTGACATCCCTTTCCTCTGGGTTATGTGAGGATTTACAGGTCCTGTATTTACTGTGCCTCAGTGAGGAGAAGGAGAGCCAGGTGCTCTGTTTATCCCCTGGGGGAGCTGTAGGATCCTGAGGGAAGAGTAGCTGGTGGCGTTTTGGTGAGAGATTGTGCCTGTTTGGCAGGGTCTGTGCGGGTGTGTACCAGAGCACAGTGTACCTACCCAACACCCATGTCACAGTGGCCATCCAGGTTCTGGTGAGGTGCCACAGGGCTTAGAGCACACCAGAGCTGGAGACAAGAACCGTAGCCATTGCCCATGCTGCTGACCACAGCTCTCTTCACAGGAGGCTGTGTCAATCTGAATGGTAAGACCCGGGATGAGAGCCAGGAGCAGCGCTGCTGTGCCAAGCCCCAGGAGCACCCCTCGCGCATCTGGTACGAGACATTTGCAAGGAGGAGGAATGAGCCAGGGGTCTGAAAGGACACAGGCCTGGCCTCTTCAGTAATTTGTTTTAAAAAGTTTTGGATGTTTGTTTCCCTACCTTGGCCCCTGCCTTCCAGTGTAGTGTTGAAATCATCTTTGGCCACATCTTGTCTCCTGGGAGCTCCTTGTGACCTCCTGAGCCTTGTTTAGGGCTGAGACCTGGGTCTGCCTTGGGAAGCAGATGCACAAGTGCCTGCACAAGGGTGCCCAGGACAGCGCTTACCTCACAGCTTCGGTGTGCCTGTTTATTGTGTGCAAGTGTGTGGGATACCCACCTTGGTTCCTCACTGCTAGTACTGCTGGCGTTTCATGTGAGATTTCAGCTGCTTTTAGCTTTGCCCTCAGTCCCTGTCCTGGTTTTCCTGGGGTGATTTTGCTATGGGTGGGGAAATAGCAGTCACCCCCATTCTCCCGCGGATGCTTAGCAAATGTGAGGGATCAGGATCTGCAGCCGCCCTCGGCTGCTGCTGTGTTGGGCCCTGACCGCACAGGGAAGCGGTTCCCCCATTCTGTCCCTGGAATTAGGGGATGTGAGCCAAGTCCTTTCTGAAATAGGTAAATCTGAGCATCCAAAGTATTTATAAAGAAGGTGAAACCCTGCCAGGGAGGTGAGCAGGGCTGACTGGTTGCAAACACACAGGGGTTGTGTCTATCGTGTGCTATTAATACAAGATAGAACAAAGGCTTCCGCATACTGGGGCTCGGAGCAGAGGATGAGGGGGAGCGTGATGTTGTGCATTACTGCTCTGGTGCTTGGCTGTTCCCTGCTGAGCTGCTGCTGCCTCCACTGCCCTTGTGCCCGCTGCAGGGCCAGCCCCTGTCCTCTGGCAGCAGCTAGTGGGCTGAGGGGAAGTGTGTAACGGTGGGTAAATGCTCCTGGCAAGACTGGGACCACCTCCTAATTAACTGATGGTCACATAACGTGCCTCTTGTTAATGCCACCAGGACGAGAAGCTATAAACAAGCCATGGGTGTAACCTGGAATGGGCAGCAGCCAGGGAACCATGCCCTCTCCCCTTTGGATGACAAGCACAAGAGTTCTGCAAACCGGACTCCACCTTCCTCCTCTCCAGCTAGGATGGTGAGTGGGTGCCATGGCCCTTTGCCTCCCTTTCTCTGGTGAGTACTGACTTCCTACATCTTCTCCTTTTAGGTTGTTAGACCATTGAAAAACTTCCTGCAGGCTGTGCAAAGAAACCAGCTGCTGGCCAGCCCAGGGCCCACAGGACGTGTCATAAAGAACTTCATCAAGCGCAATACTTCCACCCGACCTGATCTGAAGGTGTGTCAGTGCTGCCTTCCCTTGCAGGGCTGGAGGAGGAGGGACCCTTTGCTTAGAAAAGCATAAACATACTCCTAGTTCTGTCTGCAACCACAGACCAGCACAGCTCCTTGTCACAAACTGGCCTCAGTTCTGCTTCAGCCTCACCAGGGAAGGGAAGCTGCTCGGTGTTGCCTTTTAATCACCTGTCCACACACACTGTTACTGGCTGGGCCTTTAGCACCAACTCTCAAACCTTTCTTATGCAGAGAAATCTCGGCTGCTGTAGCTGTAGTCAGCAGAAACACTTTACATTCTGGGACTGCTGAACCGTAGGAAAGTGGGAAGCTTTTCTCTTGGCAGTGGGACTCTGCCCTTGTCTTGTGTAACTGCAGCTGCAGGGCTGACAGGCAGTGTGGGCTCTACCACATACCCCCCGCGGGTGTGTGCGCTGTGAAGTGGGGAGTTCTACTGTTACTTCCAAACCCTTAATCATTTTTTTGTCTCTTTTCGACAGGGAGACTTTGTTGTAAGTAACAAGGCCCTTAACCTCAGGGCTGGACGGTTCGACAGTGGTGTCGCGCGCCTGGTGGGCCCTGCCAGCCCTCTCCCCTCCCACTGCCATCCCCGTGGCTCTGAGCACACAAGCGCGCTGGCCACGCTGGCCGAGGGGCTGCAATCTCCCAGCATGTGTGTCCTGCTGGGGCTGGGAGCTGCGAGGAAGCCCTGGGGCCTGCGAGCTGGACTCGCGCTCTTGTCCTCCTGCCCTGCTCTCCCAGCTGCGGGGTAGGTAACACTGTCCCAGGCCAGGAGCGTTTGCTGTGGTGGTTACCTACAGCGGGAGCGTTCCTTGCCTAAACATATTCTCTACAGCCGAAGGACTGCGGTGTTTCCGTGACTCTTCTGCTTGTATTAGTTGAACAAGCACGATTGCCAAACCGGTGTGTGGGTGAACCTGACTCTGACAGTGACTTCTTTGTTTAGCAGCCTGCCGGGCCTGTTCCTGCTTGTGCACCAGCAGCCTGGTGGCAGGAACAGGCCCCAGCAATCGGTAAGGTCTGAACTCATCTCCCTTCAGGAGAAGGAGCGCCAGAGACTGGAAAGTCTCAAGAAGAAGCAGGAGGCTGAGGAACAGAGGAGGAAGAAAGTGGAGGAGGAAAAGAGACGGCGGCAGGCAGAAATGAAGCAGTGAGTTGGGCCCCTTCCCTCCTGCTCCTTTCCTGGTCCAGCACCTGATGGCCCCGGGGCTGGTCCTGGCTGTATCCAGCTCTTTTGCTGCTGCTCTGCTGCTGGTGGCTCCTGGCAGCGAAAACCGCGCTGCTGCAAAGTGCCCGCTGATGTCTGAGCTTCACCCAGAGCTAAGCTGAGGCTGAGCTCAGAGCAAGTCAAGAAAATAACTGTTTTCCCCAATTAGCATGGCAAGTCCCTGTTCCCCCAGCATACCCTGTGTGAAAGCAAACAGCGCTAACAACCCCCTCTTGCACACACACTGCCCAGAAAGAGGGAAGAGCGTCTGAGGAAGGCCCTGCAGGCTCGGGAGCGGGTGGAACAAATGGAAGAGGAGAAGAAAAAGCGGATGGAGCAGAGGATTTTACAGAATGACGAGAAGGTAAGGAGGCTGACCCAGCTTTGGACCATGGGGTACAGCAATCTGATCTTGGTGAGGCTACAGACAGGCCGCTGGCGTGATCCGAGTGAGCATGGGGCTGCTGCTGCTGGTGGTGACTAATCCAGTGGTGTGTAAGTCTGCACCAGACGCTGAAATTCTCTGTCTAACAAGAGGAGGCTTTTGTTCTCCATACCTTTGCGGTGGTTCTAAGCACTCCTGTTGTGACACGCAGTGCTGTTGGTGCTCTGTGTTTAAGGAATGTGGCAGCACCCCTTGACTTGCCCTGCCGAGGAGGCAGCCCCCCAGCTGGCAGTGCTCTGGGAGCCAGCTGTTGGCACAAAGCGTCACAGTTTTGCTTGTAGGGGGTGGCAAAGGTGTGGTGGGAGAGAGGGGTGTGTGAGGGGTGCTCATCGCTAGGCTTGGCTCTGTCTGTGTCTATCACATTTGGCTTTCAAAGCCTTGTCTGGTCCTCCTGAGGGCCGGCAGAGGATGAGGAATGTGCCCTGATGGGCTATTGAGGCCACGTGTGGCTGGTGCTTCTGCTTTTGTACAGCTCTGCAGGTTCTGTGGGGCTGGGGGAGGCGGTGCCTGGCTGAGCCTTTGGGAGGAGGATGGTTGCTTATTTTGGGGATGGACTAAGTGACCTGTGGAAGGGGTCAACATTAGGAAACAAAGGAATTGTGCTCCTTCCAGCCTTTCCCAAAACCTGAGCGGTCAAAAGTGCCCCCAGCCCTGGCCAGCCCACTGCTGCCGACACACCAGTGCTGCTGCTGGGACAGACACCCCGGGAGGGAGCTGTGTCTTGGGGGCTTGAGCAGATTTCACACCTTGGCTCCTCACGCTGGTGTCAGCAGCAGCACTGCAGGCATAGCAGAAACCAGCTGCTGGTTCCACTTTTTCTGCCTGCAATCACTTACCAGGTGGAGGCAGGGTTTGGGTTGTGGTGTGGCCTCTGCTCCTTCCTCCTGTCACTCCAAGTGATGGGTCTCTTGGCACGGGTGGTAGTAAGTGGTGGTTGGTGCTAAATGATTGGACTAGATGATCTTCAAGGTCTCTTCCAGCCTAGATGGTTCTGTGATTCTGTAAATCCAGCACACGTGTGCTGCTTGCTGGGTGTGAGGCTCTTGGGCTTACTAGGACCTGGAGTATCCCAGGCTTCGGAAGCAGCTTCGGACGAGGCTGAAGTGTGTCCTCGGGGCTCCCTCAGGTGCGCACCTCTCAAACGCGGGAGGAGAAGGTGGCGGAGGAGCGGAGCAGGAAAAAGCTGTCGAAGAAGCATGGGGAAGCTGATGTGCAGAAGCAGAAAGGGCCAAGGCTGGTAAGAGCAACTCTAGGTCCCTCCTGCATGTAGAAGAGGAAAGGAGCAGTGGGGAACCCATGTGCTGTTCTGGCTGGGGGGACAGGGAAGAGTCACTGCCGCTCCTGCTGCAGGGGTTTGGAGTCCATGCTGCAAGAGTTGGGTTTGAACATGAGGGTACCTGTGGTAACCCCCTAGCTGGGAGGCAGTGCTGGAAGGTGAGGGTGAGGTACAACTCACACGGACTGTCTCAGAGCTTTTGATTCATATCCTGCCACCTTTCCCCACTTGAGCTGGAGAGGTACAAGGGTTTTCTTTTCTCTTCTTCAGGAGAAAGATGAATTTGAGCAGCAAGAGCCACTGCAGAGAAGGAGAGAGGATGAAGTAAAAGGAAAAGTCTTGGAACTGAAAAGTCTTTTAGAGCAGCAACAGGTGGAAGAAGTGAAGGAGAGGTATTAGCTTGTTTCTGTCCTGGAGGAGGGGACTTGTCAACAGGCATGGAGAAGCAGTAAACATAAATAGTATTGCTGAAATTGGGGAGTGGTGGGAGTGTCAGGCTGTCCCAAAGATTTGGGGTGCTGAAGAAAGAGGCTTTAAGACTGCTCTTGGGGATGGGTGGACATGCTCTCTTCTATCACTAAATTATGGCTTTTTTCCCTAGGGGTCACAAACAGCGAGGGAAGGAGAAGGCCCCCCAGCCACAGCTGGAGTCAGCACTGTGCGCTGAGAAAAGCGTAAAGGTGGGGAGTTGAAGTGGTCTCGGAACAACTTCTCTGCTGTAAACCAGTGAGGCACAGGACACACAGACATATTTTAAGATCAGACTTGTTTTCCAAGGTTGTGGTTAAAACATGTTTAAGGTTTTAACACTTACTGTGTTATTTAGAGGAACAAATAAAACCAATGACAAGCCAACACCTTATTGTGAGGGTTTGGGGTCTGTGCACCCATGAGCCCGCTCTGTTGCTAAAGTTTGGCTGTTCTCTTGTTACAGGTGAGCCTTCTCAGCCCCGTCACGAGGGGGATGGCTGCCATGCAATGGCCGTGGGAAGAACACCTCTAAATGGCACCCACTGATACTTAAATGACTGTGGAAATTAGTAAGAGATTTTACTTTTCCCTACTACGTTCACTCACTGTATTTGGAGGATATGATCCCCATGACAAATACCAGGTATCATATCGCTTCATGTAACTTCATTTGCACTTATACAAAGAACGGTATGGCTTAAAGTCAAGGCTCTTTGTCTCAAAATATCACAGTAACATTTTCCTTCCAGTCTCTTTCTACTCTTAACATCACTCTTTCTTCTGCCTTCTTCATTAGTGAAAAATCAACCCTTCAAATGCTGGTCCTCTTAAGGATAAATTCCTCCTTCTGTATTTTTCTTGCTGCTCTTACTCACTGGGTCCATGACATTCAAACTCCGATTTGTGCTATGTAATTTTAATGAAGGTTTAAATTCTTCATATGTTGCAAGCAACTGTGCTGGAGGGAGCCACAGCAAAGCTCCTCCAGATAAGAGAGAAGTTGAATATAATTCAAAGTGCTTGCAGCTCTTGCCCTCCCATTAGCTCTTCCCTCTGGAGTAGTACGGGAGAAGAAATTCCTGGAAAAAGTGGTTTGTGTTGAAAAAGACCTTAAGCAGTGATTTTTTTCTCTATTAGGAGGAAGAGAGCCCAAAAGAGCTGTACCAGCTGCCTGGGCAGGAGATGAGAGACAAGCAACCAGAATCCATTGCTGTGGCTTCTAAGCCCTGGCTCAAAGTGGTAAAGGTGAGCGTGGGCTCTAGAGACCCTGTTGATCTGGACCTGAGCAAAGACAGGAATTGCTTTAGCTTTGAGTCTTGGGTTTGAGGGGTTTTTCTGCAGAAGATGACACAGAGGGACTGAGGATTTTTTTTTTTTTAAGGAAAACATGGCTCTCTTCCTCAGACAGCCTGAACATGAATGAAGAACAACTTAATTCTTGTGTCTTAACAGGAAGAAGACGGTCTGCAGGAACCCCAGCAGTGGCTGGGAGAGGAGAAGAAAATCAAGCAGCTAGAAGCATGGACGGCTGCCTCTGGCACATGGCTGAGCAGAACAGTGAAGGTGAGTTCTGGCTCCAGCAAAGCCCCCAGGTTACGTGTCTGGGGTGTCCAGGGGGTTCCTGGGGTTTGGAGACAGCCTGCAGATTTATTACCCATCACTGTGGAGCAGGAAACGAACCTGGGGTGTGGGTGGTTGTGGTTTAACAGGCACCTGTGCAGAGGACCGTGGTGTCTGTCGGCGGGGCTGCTTGGCCGAGAGCTCGGCACGGGGGGAACCTGAACGAAAAACAAGTGCTTTCTCTTGGAAAAGATGTTGGGAACGGCCACAGGATGGCAGCACGTCACGAGGCGCCGGCTCAGCGCCGCGCCCGCCCGGTTCCGGCCTGCGGCTCTGCGGGAGCCTGGCTGGGCCGGGACTTCTTAAACCTGGTAACTGGACAAGTGGGGGAGAAGCAGCTCAGAGTCGGACTCGAGTAGTATCTCTGAGTTAAACTCCCGTCCTGGCTGACGGGCTCCCTGCTCCCTTCCGCGACTCGCAGCAGAGCTCCAGAGAGCCAACACCGGCTCTGCCATGAAGCCCTGGGAAGGGTGTGAGCGTGTGTGCAAAAACCAAGCGCTCAGACATGCACGGTGTGTTCTTTTAAGGCTTCTCAACAAAAATCAGGAGGGGAAAAGGGTTAAAAGTAGTTCTCAATCACCGAGCACAGTGACAGGTTTTGTGCCGATGTGTGCATGCTCCCGTAGTGCCAAGTCCTGCAGAATTAGGGTGTTGGGGGTCCCTGCTCCTGGCCGCGGAGCCTGGAGGTATCGCTGAGCTTCAGCGGGCCCCAGTATGACCCGCAGCTTTGGTGACCAGTGGAGCCCTGGCTCTTGCCCCCCGTGGGGCTTCCTGGCAGCTCGGAAGCCACAGGGTGGGTGGGCAGCTGTTTCAGCTCTGCCTTTTGCAGTCCCTGCCGCAGTGTGGCTTTTCAGTGGGACGTGGTTTCAAAATAAAGTTCAATAATAAAAAAAATATTTAGGCATTTCTGGGCTTCACTGAAAATCTCAACCCAAGTTACCTGTCAAGTCCAGGGATTACAGATGTCCAGCTAACATGGAGGTGAAAACCTTCCCACACATATGTTGGTGGCCTTTTTGGCTCCTGTTTTTCAAACTAGGGATGAAAATGAGCATGAATGGCACCTCTGCTCTAGGAACTGAGCCGGCAGCTCTCAGTCCTGGCTGCCTTCCCTGCACAGTGAAGCTCCTCACCCAGCGTGTGGCATTGGGAACCCACCTCTCCCCTCCTGCCCCGTGTGAGGGCTCTGCCCCGGCCCCTCCGCGGCAGCATCCCCTGGGTTCCAGCCCTGTCCTTTCGTGCCAGAGCCCTGCGGGGCTGGTGAGGGGCCGGGCTGCCTGCAGCTGGTGGTAGCCAGCCCCTCCAGAATGAACTTGCAGCTCCAGCTGTCTCGCTTTCAGAAATCGATCTCCACACCCTACCTGGAGCTCCCAAAGGGCACAGAGGGATCTAGGTCCCCAGAGGTGGACAGAAATAACTACGGGATGGATCTGAACAGCGATGACTCCACAGACGATGAGAACGAACCTCGGAAGCCTGTCCCTGCCTGGGCAGATGGTAGGTGCCAAGTTTGGTTCGATTTCCTTTAATACCTTCCCCAGGAAGCCGGAGCTTTCCAGATTTGCTTGGTGCAGTCTCAGCTTCCCTAAAGTGCCGCCTGGGAGCGGGTGAGGCTCCAGCTCTGCCAGCAGCTCCGGCTCCCGGGGGTGAGGGGGCTGGAGCCGCTTCCCTGGGGTGCCGGTGCGCTGCTGCTAAAGCCCGTGTGCGCACTCGGGATGGTGGGGGCTGCCATGGGGAGCTCAAAGGGCACCTTGGGCAGAGCTCAGAAAGCTCATTTCTGGTATGGTTGATTCTGTAGGAGCTCAGCTTAACGAAGCCATTGTACACCAGTACTATCACCCAGTAAACGTTGACCAGATCTTTGGGCTAATTCCAAGCCCTAAGCTGGAGGATATTTTTGGCAAGAGCAAGCCTCGATACTTCAAGCGCACGAGCTCGGCAGTTTGGCATTCCCCGCCTGGGACCAAAACTGCCTGTGGCCCATCTTGCAGCTTCAAAAACTGAGAACACACAAAGCAATGTGTTTTATGACAATGTGGTGTATTGGTTTGTTTTCTTAGTGTCCAGTGTGTTTACAATTTTAAGTTTGCTTTTTGTACAAAAATGAAAATATTTAATAAAGACCAGTTGCAGTAAGGACTCTGTGTCTCCACTTGTCCCCTCCATGGTGGGATGGTGCTTCTGGATGGCTGATTGAAGACGCAGGGCTGTGGTTTCTGCAAGTGGAGATGCAGATGTTTGAAGACAATCTTGCACCATGACACGTCACCTCAGCCTGCCTCTGGAGCCTTACACAAGAAAGCTGTGAAATTGCTGCAGGGAAGATGAATTTTTTTAATCAACCCGAGGGGGGTAATTTTCATAACCCATTCTGTGCTGTATGTATGTATTAACGCTGCTGCTCTCGGCAAGTAGCCTTCCCTCAGGAGTTCTTGTGACCTCTTGTTACTCTGAGCCAGAATCTTTTTCCTGTGGTTAAAAAAATCTGCTTGGACAGTTTAAGTCGCATCTAAACATCTTGTCACTGTTCTCTTCTAATGGAAAAATGAAGCCCAGGCTGAGTTCTTGGTCCTGTTTCTCTAGGAGACTTCAGCATACAGCCTCGCTTGGGCAGGAGGCAGATTGATTTGGCAGCTGTGGCTCAAAGGGCAAGTGGTAAGTGATTTCCTTAGGATGGGGTTTCATTGCCTGGTGAGCCCTCCCTGCCCCTGCACACCCTGGACATCTTGTGGGCGTGGAGGTGGCCAGGGCTACTGGGATGGCTGTGGAGGTGGCCAGGGCAGCATGGGGCAGCTGTGTGGCCCTGCTGTGGCTCATGGAGAGGCAGCCAGCACAGCCCACAGCATCCCCAGAGCACTTCAGCTCACCGAACCCTGCTGACAGTAGTGATGAGGAAGATGCTTAGAAAAGGGAAAGTCCCCAAGGCAAGTCCCACACTTGCCATAATAACCTTTCCTTCCTCTTTCTACAGCTCTCCCATCTCAGGCTCTGCTCCATCGTGCAGATGTGGCCCACAGGGGAGCTCAGTCCTGCCTTAGGTGTTGCCTTGGGCAGGGCCATTTGCCCTCTCTGCTTGAACAGGGCTGTGACCTGCCTCCAGGAGGAGAAGGAGGGTCCCTGGCTGGTGCAGCCCTGCACCTCAGGGGGAAGTTCCAAGCTGGTCTGAGTGGTTTTGTGGAGCTTTGGGTTTGGAGGATTTTGAGTAGTTCAGAAGAGTTTGCAAGTGTCCTGGTGGAAGAGTCTAGCAGGCAGTTAGAGATTTTGATGGATCTTCAGAGCTTTGAGCTCTGCAGAGGTGGTGCCAGCGGCTGAGCTAAGCTTTGCAGAGGCACAGAGCAGCTCAGATAGTGTGAGCAGAGCTCTACAGCAGCTCAAAGCTGCTCCTCAGCGTTGTCCTGGCCACAGGATTGCCTCACACCTCCTGGGCCCCCGCAGCTTCTCTGTTCATCTTGGGCTCCCTCCCTGTCCCAATGGATGTTTAGGGGCTCTCAGTGCCTTTTGCTTTTCTGGCTGGTCCCCCTGTGCTCTCTGGGGTTATCTCAGTGTCTTTCAGGCTCTCTTGGGTCCCTCTAGTATTTCAGTGTCCCCCAGGTCTTGCAGCCTTTCAGTAGTGTTACCCAAAGGAATAACTCATGAGCTGTAAGCCATGTTTGACTTAGTTTTCACTGAAAGAGGCTGAGCCTGTTGGAGGGGAGACATGCTGGTGTTCCAGTGATCACAGCCATTCCCTTGGGGAGTGCTCTCACCCCTTCCCCGTCCATGCACCAAGTTCTGGGGGCACTGACAGTGCTCCCCAAAGGATCCAGCTTGTCCCACGGTCACCTCGGTGCCTTCCCCCCCTCCCTCCTGCTCTCTGCCCAGCTGTACCCCACTCCTTCCTCTCAAGTGGGGTGCTGCAGAGCTCATTTCACACTTTGTCTTTCTCAGATATGCTGGAGGTTTTTGGCCTTTAGCCTCCTGGGCGGTTCTGTGCTTTCCAGGGTGCGCTGGGCTCCCTTGGTTTGGCTCTCTGGGGCTTGCTTAGAGATTACTTCATCTCTATTGGGATCTCCCATGAGGTGGTTTTCCCCAGTTCCTCTGAGCTTTCTTGTATTCTCTTGACCCCTCTCACCAGTGGCTTTCTCAGGTGCTTTCAGGGTGGCCACAGCACCTCTGAGCTTGCTTAATCTCTGTGGACTGCCTGGGATGCTCTTGTGTTGCCCATTTCCCCAGGCTCTCAGGCTATTTTGGGCTCCCCTGAGCACAGACTCCAGCTGTTCCCAGCCAGCTGGCTTCTGTCCCTCACCGTAATCCTCAAATTACCTTGTTAGACATCGCCAAGGAGGCAGTGGTTTCCGGACCCCGGCAGAGGATGGGAGCTGGAGGTCAGGCTTTCCCCTGGGGCTGGTGCCTGGCTGTGAGAGGATTGAGGTCTCCTGGCAGTGTTGTGCTTGGGGCTGAACAGGTTTTGCTGCTGCTTGTGCCAGCGTGGGGCTGAACCTGTCAAACCACAGGCACGATGCTCAGGTGAGGTCTGGTTCCCTGTGCAGCCCTGGCCGGGTGTGTGGCTGGTGCCGCTGGCCCCAGGCTGGGTGCTGGCACTTCCCGGTGTCTGGGGCGGGCAGCCGCCGGTCCCACTGCCTGCAGGGCTCTGACGAGGCCTGCAAGGGGATGGAGCACAGTCCCAGGTGTCACCTCAGTGGACTCATGGAGCTGGAGCTCAGCACTGGGGCTGAGACACAGAATTGGGTCATGAGGGAGGAGAGGCAGCATCATTTCTTACCCCTGGCCAGCGCTACACCGGTCCCCAGAGCGACCGCAGAGTTTGAACAGATTTGTGCTTCGTTAGCCCCACTCTGCTCAGCTGCATAGCTATGCCCCAGGTACTGGGAGAGACACCAGCCTGTGGGCCTGCCAGCACCCCGGGGCTGCCTGGGCCCTGGGAGGGTGGGGGCATCACTGCCGCCACGGCAGCGAATGGAAATGTCAGGGTGTGAAGAGACTTCGGGGAGGGGGTCTTTATTTAACAGGGTATAACACAAGTATCCTCCATAATAAATACATGGTCAAAAAGGAGAGGGGAGAAGACTTGCATGGAAACTCCAGGATGAGACAAATACAGTGTATGAATCACAGTGAATGAACCAGGGGTAGTGAATAAATATCTGCAGTGAAGGTGCGTTCGGGCACTCCCAACAGCAGGCACCAAACGCTCCAGTCCCCGTCCCCCCCCCCC